AGCAGAAGCCATAGGAAATGATAAATGTGTTGTCAAGTGTTTTACGAACCAGTAATTATGGTACTGAACCAATGTTGCAATCATATGACATTTTATTTATGGATCCAAGATGAAGTTTGTCTTCTTCAACACCAAGCTTTGAAGTAAGATATGATGATGTTTTCTTTCCATAGAAGGGAAGCAGAAATTTTAACAACAAGAAACTAGTGGAGCCAACTAATGTTGAACGACAGGTTGTTATTAAGCATCTTGACATGATATGGTCCAAGTTTCCTTGTTCGAGATCCAATTAGACGTGGAGACATGAAAGGAATTAGGATAAATCTTCCTTGTGATGTGTTTCAAGAGTCAAATCAGAATAGACGCTGATCTCCTAATTAATCTCTGCTGAGTTTAGCATATCTACATCTACATTCTTCAAAGATGATATATTATCTTTTCAAAGATGATAGATTCTCTTTTAAAGACGAAAGCTTTATTGGATTTTTGCACAAGTTCATATGAAGAAAGCCGATTTTATCAAAGACAAAATGGGGGCAACAAGGTCATAATTCTGACTGCGATAAGAGTTCCATAAATGAAACCTTTTTTCTGAGCCTTTCATGAAACAAAGAAGACACAAAGATTGCTCTTTCAAATCAGAAATACCAACTTGAAATGACATTTTAACCAAGTGAAGGAAGACCAAGTTTGCCACTTTGAAATAAAATAGAGATAAACTCAACATTCATACATTATATTTAGGCATTTGCAAAAATAGGGACATTTTCATTCATTTTATTCATGTTAAATATTTGACAGGAATTTCAAAGATTTTAGCAAAGATTTGAATCCATCACTCGATAGATCAACTTTTTCAGAGAAAGTTCATAATAAGAACTCATCTAAAGAAGAAGAAGTTCATAATGAGAAGAACTTGTTCAACCTTTCGCTCGAATTTATCACTCGATGGATCAACATTGCCAGGTAGAGTTCATAATGAGAAGAACTCGTCTGAAGAATGAAGAAGAAGTTCATAATGAGAAGAACTCATCTGAAGAATGAAGAAGAAGTTCATAATGAGAAGAACTTGTTCAACTTTTCACTCGAATTCATCACTCGATGGATCAACATTGCCAGGTGGAGTTCATAATGAGAAGAACTCATCTAAAGAAGGAAGAAGAAGTTCATAATGAGAAGAACATGTTCAACTTTCGCTCGAATTCATCACTCGATGGATCAACATTGCTAGGTATAGTTCATAATGAGAATAACTTATCTGAAGAGGAAAAATAAGTTCATAATGAGAAGAACTTGTTCAACCTTTTGCATGACTCCATCACAGAATGAGATAGATCAGCATTAACATTTCCAGAAGTGTTCATAATGAGAATAACTCATCTGAAAAAGAAGAAAAGTTCATAATGAGAAGAATTTGTTCAACTTTTTGCTAGATTATATCATAGAATGAGATAAATTGTCATCCCCAGTGGAAAAGTTCATAATGAGAAGAACTAATCCCAAAGAAGAACTTGTTCAACATTTCTTTCTTAATCAAGAGAAGTCAACTGAACAAAAATTTATTGTCTTTTCATCTTTGCCCTATTCTTGTTAAAACAAGAATGTACAAAGAGGGGCAGCTGTAGACACTAAATTTTTGGCCCGTTTTATTTTTATTATTATTGTTATAATTGTTATAATTATTATAAGAGAAAATAACCTCAGTGACCGAAAATGCCTTATAATATACGATTTTGACCAACTTTTTTTTCGATTTGCCAAAATGACCAACAAAATCGCAATGCGATCTCCAGTATCGCAAATCAGTTTCCAGATTCGCAACGCGATTTTGACTATTGCATTGCGATTTTCCAAATTCGCGTTGCGATTTTAGAAAATCGCAATGCGAATATGTAAATAGCAACGCGATAATACAAAATCACAACGCGATTCTGACTATCGCAACACGATAATACAAAATCCCAATGCGATTTTTCAAATTCGTTGCGATAGTCCAAGTTCGCGTTGCGATTTTGAAAATCGCAACGACTGGTGGTATTGCATTTGTTTCTTAAGAATTTTCTCTAAAAAGATAGTATCCACGCGGACGTGTCGAAGACACGTATTACCACGACCACGACCACGACCCGAACCGACCCGACCCGACCCGAGACGGGACGACGACGGCGGCAGTGCGCGAGAGTCCCACTTGTTCTTTTCCACTCAACAAGGAAGTGGGAAATCCAAGCCTTAAATACCAATTCCCAATAGTGTTTCCAATACTATGTGGGATTGATCATTGCAAACACTTGGGAATCTTTTACACTATCGCAACACATTCTTTATTGTTTCAAACTCCACGTGAATTTGGAATAGTTAAAATGTAAACTTATTTTGGATTTTTCACTATCGCAACACTTTTTCACTATCGCAAACAACACGTTTTTCAAACTCTCGCAACACATTTTAATTATTGCAACACATTTTAACTATCACAACACATTTTTCAAAATCTCGTTGCAAATCTTACAATCGCGTTGCGAATTTGGAAACTAGTTGAAAAATTAGAGTTCGCGTTGCGATTTTGTTGGTCATTTTGGCAAATCCAAAAAAAGTTTGTTAAAATCGTATATTATAAGGCATTTTCGGTTACTGAGGTTATTTTCTCTTATTATTATTATTATTATTATTATATTTTTATTATTATTAATAAATATTATTATTACATATTACAGGCCCAAATATTAAATCCCAAAGCCCAGTTTACAAGCCCTATCATAACAGGCTCAAGAAACCCTAAAACCTAACTAGAGTTTCTCTCATCCCAGTCGCCTCTTCTTACCACCATTGGATCTGGCTTTGATCCAATGGCTCAGATGATTCCAAATGAAACCATAGGGTATCATCACCCTAGGGCCACGTTTCCAGCCGCCTCCTTAGTTACCACGCGGCCACTGCCTCTGCTGCAGACACTACAGTGCCACGTCACCTCGCCGTCGAAGACTCCAGAACCAACGGCTACGAAGAACACACACAACAAACAGGAACCACAGAGCAGGAGAAAAAAAACAAAAATAAAAGAAGGGAAGACTTACCATCATCGAACCTTTGAAACGTCATCGGAAACCTTTGGATTTCGAAGGTAAAAATCTAGATTTACTCTGATTAAGGGTTTTTTTTAGGGGAAATCAAAGCCAGATTCGATATTGGGGTAGTCGGGGTTTTATTTTGGTGTAAGTTATTATTTTTTGGCCACCGACAACGTGGCGGCGGCGATTTCAGCGGCGGTCGACCGGTGACCGATTTCCCTCCGATGAAGGAAATCTAGAGAGAGGGGAGAGCATTTTTCATCTCTATCTTTTAGAGAGAGAGTGAAAAATGAAAAATAAAAGGAAATGGTCATTATGGTAGACTATTTGGGGTTTATATACCCTTTCCCAAATGACGTTGTTTTGGGGAGGGGTATATGTGTAATTTCACCAATGACCAAACTATACGCGCGATACCCATAGTTTCATACTTTTATATTTTAGTCACTAAATCTAATTTATAAGTATTCTGATTCGGTTTTCTAATTTTATTTATTTATATTTTAGTTATTGAAACTAAATTCCGAACTTTTAATTTGGTATTCGAATTTTATTTATTATAATTTAATCCCTGACCTAATTATATTTATTTTAGGTTAAATATCTTATTTATTCCCTCATAATTTAATTAATATTTATTTTAATCACCTATTAATAATTAAGGGCTAATTACACTACTAGTGGTTATATGTTTTTATAATAATTCGAATTATGTTCATTAATTTTGATAATTTACATTTTAATCTTGTTGCTTAATTTTATTTAATTATTATTTATTTTCATTTTATTATTGTCCTTTTTTATTTCAATATTTTTAAATTATTATTATTATTATTATTATTATGTAGTCATATAATAAATAATATTTATTTACTTATTTTAATATTATATATATATATATAAAACAAAAATCCTATTTATAAATTTATATAAATTACTTTTAAGAAAAATAATCATATTTTAATATTTATTTTTTTTAATATTAAGAAATGGGCTGTCTTAAAGCACCTAGAAGTCATTTTCTGATATTCTTAAATAAATAAATATCCTATTTTTATAAATTATATATTAATTTATTTTAATGTTTTATTAATATTTTTTAATATATTAAGAAATTAGTTGTCTTAAAGAACCTAGAAGTCATTTTCTGATATTTCTAAAGTAAATAAATATCTTATTTATATATATATATATATATATATATATATATATATATATATATATATATTATCTAATAAATTTATAACAAGATTATGAATTAAATATATTTTTAATTTTCAATAATAGAGACAATTTATAATTAATAAGTACCAATTTTGGGCGTTATAGGGATGCTAATCCTTCCCTAAACGTAATCGACCACAAATCATTTTTTATTAATTTTTTTTGGTTATACGCAGATCAGTTTATCTTTTAACTGATGTTTTCTTAAAAACTCTTTTAAAATAATTTTTGGATATTCGACCTACCTAACCAAAAAGGTCGATGGCGACTCCCAAAATATTTTTTTAATCAAAATCATTTTTATCCACATTATTTTTCCGCCAAGTAAAATTTCGTACCCGGGTAAAAACGGTTACGACAAGTTCAAGTCAAGTTTTTTAAATGAGTCGAGTCGAAAAAATCAATTTTTTTAAACGACTTGAGTTTTGATGACCTCTGATGCTCATTATAGCTAGATAATTTTCTAAGCTCTCTCTATTTCTATATAGGCATGTATACCTTAGTCGGCTGAATCAAACTAGTGTTGAGAGGTAGAGAATGGGAAAAAGTAGGTATCTTCCTCTTTACGAAACAAGGTCAGCTAGGGGAACTTCCTTGTTTCGACTATTCGCAACTTCAATATTCGTAGCCATCTGCTTCATTTTGTGGTACAGGCTGACCTATTTTCCACTACTAGAAACTACAACGGAGAAATGGGTTTGGATTGGCATGTTTCTTTCTGAACTTTGCTTTGCTTTATACTTCTTCATCACTGTCATCGTCAAATGGAACCCTGTTTTCGTTACACTTTCAAAGACAGACTCTCTTCAAGGTTATCATCTCGTTTCACTTATTTACAGAAGTCCTTGTTCCTTTTTGTAAATGAATTTTAATGGAGACTGAATGCTTTTTTTTTTTAATTAAGAACAGGTATGACGATGAAGCACTGCCGGGAGTAGACATTTTCGTTTGCACGGCGGACCCGAGATTAGAACCACCAGCAATGGTGATCAGCACTGTGTTGTCACTTATGGCTTACGACTACCCACCTCAGAAGCTGAGCGTTTATCTCTCCGATGACGGCGGCTCCAGTTTAACGTTTTATGCTTTGTTAGAAGCTTCACGTTTTGCTCGGCTATGGCTTCCTTTTTGCAGGAAGCTCAAAGTAGAGCCAAGGTCGCCTGAGGCTTATTTCCAGGTGACTCCTGAACCCGTTGATGATCCTGCCATTGCCAATGAGTGGCTCACCATCAAGGTATTATTTGTCCATTTCTCTTATTGGTTAATTGTTATCAGAAAATAATGATTGACATGTAACTGTGCATATGTAGGGAAAATTCTAATAATGTACCATTAATTTTAAAGGTAAATTTTTTAAATAGTCATTAAACTATACTAAAATGTTCTTTTTGAACATCGAACTTCGAAAGTTACATAATATCTCATTCAATCAATCCCTCAATTGTATCACAAAATGAATATTGCATCTTTAATTATCATCAAAAGGATCACTTAACATGTTAAATTAATAAAAAAAATCTCATTCATCCTTCAATTATAAACTAAATTTTATTTTGATATTTTTCAATATTTTGAAATAATAATTCTAAATAATAAATTATATATATATATATAAATTCATGATTCATTTTTAAAATTATAAAAGTGTTTTTTAAATTTTATAACTTTATAATTAATCTTTTAAATCATAAAATTATAATTATTTTTTAAAATATGAATTTATTAATTCACAAAATTTTTTTATAATTAATTTTTTATTTAATCGTGGTTTCATTTGAAAATTTATAATTTATAATTTTTGAAATCATTTTTTATTAAACAATGTGATTCAATTCTTTAACTTTTTTTAGTAGTTTTAAATATAATTTTAAAAATATATTTAAAATTTCAAGAATAAATTTTGAAAATTCATATATTAAAAAAATTATTTTTCTATTTTTTTGGAATTATTACATAAAATTATTGAAAATATCAAAAATAAAATTTTAGTCAAAATTGATGGAGCAAATGAGATTTTATTTATTTATAATATATGTCACATTAATCTTAACGATAATCAAATGTCAATACATTTATTAACAAAATCTAAAATTTAATATTCATTTTATAATTTTTTAAAAGTTAATTGACCAAAAAATTATTTTATCATAATTTAATAACTATTTATACATTTATATCAATATATATATATATATAAGTGTGCGGTGTGCATTGTAGTACGGATGAATTGTAGTCTCATCCGTATATGTAGATATTTTCAATATTTAAATGGATGTGAAGGGAGATAAGATCATTGTTATTTCTGTCCAATCTCTATGTTGTAAGTTTTAGACTTGCATACGTTTCTAAACATCATTTTACTAAGGTGTTTGAGGTCAGATGCTGACAACCGACAAGTGACAGCTCATGACTGCCGGTCAAAATATCCTCACCCTACATATTTCCTACCTCCTAATTTTTATAGGATATATTCTGCATTTAATTTTAAACTATTAATTTTAATCTATTTTAGTATTTAAATTTTTTATTTTTTTAAAATTATATCTAAAATTTAGTTTTTATTTTATTTTAATATATCGTTTAAAATTTAATATTAAGTTTTGAAAAAAAATTAAAAGTTTAGACACTAAACGGACCAAAACTTATAGTTTAAGTATTCGTTAAATTTTTAATGACGAGATACTAAAATGAAATAAAAATTAAACGTTAAGTATAGTTTTTAAAAAAGTTAAAAGTTCAATACTAAAACGAATTAAAATTAATAGATTAAATATTAAATACTTAATTTATCTTTTTTGATAAACAGCAAAGGACCAGCACGCCAATATAGAACATATATGATTTTAACCTCAATGAAAACGACTGAAGAGGCATTTCGTTGTCCTTTTATGTTATAATTTCATATATTTACTTACTAGAACAAAGAAGAATTTGTTAAATTTAATTTTGTTAATATAGTTACTAATAAATTTCGTGATTTTCATATTTTTATATTAAAAAACCTTTACATTTTATAGAAATCATATGAAGATATGAAGAGTCGGATTGAAATCATCACAAGATTAGGCGAAGTTCCAACGGATATACACAAAGAACATAAAGGATTTGATGAATGGGATTTGGTTTCAAGTCGACATGATCATCAAACTATTGTCCAAGTAATATTTAATAATTTGCTACAATATTTGTTTCTTCTTCTTTTGCATTATATATATATATATATATATATGTTAGCTCATAATTAGTTAGTTGTAATTTTGCATTAAAAAAAACCTTTTGAAGGTGTTGATTGATGGAAGAGATCCTAACGCCATTGATATCGAAGGAAAACCTTTGCCAACCCTTGTCTATTTGGCTCGTGAAAAGAGACCTCAATTTCACCACCATTTCAAAGCTGGAGCCTTGAATGCATTGGTAACCTCCTTTTTTTTCTCCTTCTAATACTAGTATTTGACATTTATGTTCGATATATATTCAAATTAAAGAAAAGTAAATTATTTGATCGGAATAAATATATTTATATATTAGTACTTTGTTGAGGTAAATTGTTATTTTATCTTATTCTCGAATATATGGATGAACAGATAAGGGTATCGTCGAAAATAAGTAATGCTCCATTCGTCCTCAACGTGGATTGCGACATGTACTCAAACAACTCCAACACAATCAGAGATGCACTTTGCTTCCTCTTGGATGAAGAGAATGGACATGATATTGCATATGAAGGCCAACTTCAAATCTTTCTGTCCAAGCATTGCACCTTGTTAAACGACCGTAAAAACATGCCTCTCAAGCTTCAACTTTCTTATTGCATCTACATGCTCTGGGCTCCCTCCAGCATCCCCACCCTTTACTTCGTTTTGGTGCCTTCTTTTTGCCTGCTTAAAGACATCTCTTTGTTCCCAAAGGTACGGTTCTTGTTTTATTGTTGTTTTTCAGATGTCGTGTCCAAAATTATTGTGTCTTGTCGAATACTAACATTTGTCTGAATTACTAGATATCGAGCATTTGGGGTGTACCGTATTTGTATGTGTTCTTTGTCCACCGAGTTCACAGCCTTGTGGAATTCGTATGGTGCGGAGGCACAGTCCGAGGTTGGTTGAATGAACAAAGGATGTGGATGTTCAAAAGAACAACTTCCTACTTCTTTGCTGTCCTCGATTACATCCTCAAGCTTTGTCAGATTTCGGAGTCAACATTCGTCATCACCAGAAAAGTGGCCGACGATAACGTAAACCGGAGATACGAGAAAGACATCATGGATTTTGGGATTTCTTCACCAATGTTCACGGTCTTAGCAACGCTAGCACTTTTCAACGTGTTGTGTATCATTGCAGTGGGAACAAAGAAAATCGTTATTGATAATGATGATGTTATGAAGGTTTTCGACATTTACGGTTTTCAGATTGTTGTTTGCTGCCTTTTGGTGTTCATCAACTTGCCTGTATACCAAGCGATGTTGTTCCGAAAAGATAGTGGTAAAATCCCAGCATCTGTAACGCTTGTGGCCTTTACTTTGGCTTTCTTCGCTTCTGCATTAGCCATATACTAGTCTCATGGTCCGCTGTGAGAGTCGACGTTTACACAATAGATTTAAGTATGGGGTCGGGATCTTAGAATAAAGTTCCATGTGTGACACGACATTTATCAAGTAATTATAGTTAAGGAAATACGAACAATACTAGTTCACGTATATTTATTGTTCCTAAACTTTTATCATAATATATGGAATCTTCAAAACTTGTATTTGATTTGGCCCCCGGAACAGCGAAGCATCAACCATAAGCTTCTCACACAGGCAGCCAAAGGAACAGCCCTTGTCTACCGAACATTGCATCTTTTCTTCACTGCCCCTCATCATTACCCCCCTAAAAGGGCAGATTCAACACTTGACATTCTTTTGATGCATTTTGGAAATTTAACTAAAAGAAAATAAAAGGACTTCCATTGTCAGCGGTTCTATGTAATATTTCATCTAGGTATTTGATCGATGCTTATTGTAGAATGTACTTCATCTGGTCAATTAAGAAAATTTGCTATTTCTACAAGGGTTCGAACCAGGGACCCCTTGCTTAAGGGACCATAACCCCTTCCACTCAGGCCAACCTTCGTTGGTGTTTGCTTTATTAGCATGTATTTCAACAGCAATTTAAGTTGTAACTTGGGAGAGGATGAGGAATACAATCGAAATATTTGGGAAACTAAGTGAGAATACCAGAGGGGTAGTAGAAATAAAGTATGACTTGGAAATGGAAACCTTAGTCAATTCCACCTATCCGGTGCTGTGGTAACATTACCAAAGTTAAAGAGTACTTATGGTTAACTAGCATATGACCATGTAAATGCGAAATCCAATCTAATTCTTTTAAACAAATAGCCTAATAAGAACTTAAGATAAGATGAAGGATGTTTTGGTGACAAAATGTCGTGTTTCTCACTAATTTCTCTTATATTAGTTATTTAGTTTACTCCCCAATTTTGGAGGTTGGCCTAAGCCTTCTTCTTCGTGTGATGGGCTACCCTTCTAGAACTAAAACAGTTCTATTGTTGGGAAATAAAACGAGTAACAAGTAATTTCCCTATAATCAGATTAGTGAGAATGCGAAATAAAAGCGAAAAATAATACCCGAAATTGATAACAAAGTTCAGCCAATTTGCTTACTTCTTTGGACTGCTGCAGATCTTTTACTAAGAAAGAAAATTTACAGGTGTTTACAAAACACTCACTACTCACAAGAAAGCTCTCTAATATTGGGAGAAAGAAATGATTTTTGGGATGATTTTGAAGTTAAATGAGCTAGGGTATTTATAGTTGAAGGTTAAGGACTAATCTTATAAATACCCTAAAGTCCAGTGACTAATAATAATTATCCCATTATAATTTTTCAACAAACATTTACCAAACTTTGAAAAACCATTTTTCAAAGAAACATTTACCAAACTTTGAAAACCATTTTCAAAGAAACATTTACCAAACTTTGAAAATCATTTTTTCAAAGTTGGTTGCCAAACTTTGAACTTTTAACAATCTCCCACTTGAAGACTGATTTTAATCTGTCTTCACACCTCGATCAATGCAACAACTTTTCTAGTCTTGTTACTCTAGCATGCCAACTGAAGTTGAACACAACTTCAGTTTATCCGTAGTCATCATCTTTGTCAACATGTCTGCCGGATTTTGAGCTCCACTAATCTTTTCAAGTTTCAAAATCCCATCTTCTAGAAGAGACCGGATAAAATGATATCTCAATTGTATGTGCTTCGTCCTGGAATGAAAAGATGGATTCTTTGCTAGATGTATAGCACTTTGACTGTCGCAATACAAGATATTGTTTTCTTGTTTCTTGCCTAACTCTTCCAAGAAACTTTGGAGCCAAACCATCTCCTTGCTGGCTTCCATAACAGCAACATATTCTGCTTCAGTTGTGGAGAGAGCAATTATCTTCTGTAGTTGAGAAACCCAACTCACTGCAGTTCCTTCTAGAGTATAGACATATCTTGTAGTTCTTCTTCTAATGTCAACATTTCCGGCTAAGTCAACATCTACATAGCCTGTTAGTATCGTATCTCCACCTTTAAAACAAAGTGATTTTTTTGTGGTACCCCGTAGATATCTGAGGATCCATTTGACTGCTTCCCAGTGTACCTTGCCTGGATTATTCATGTACCTGCTAACAGCTCCCACTGCATGAGCAATATCTGGTCTGGTACAAACCATGGCATACATCAGACTTCCAATTGCTGAGGCATATGACACCTTCACCATGTGTGCACGTTCTTCCTCCGTCTTTGGTGACTGTTCTTTGGAGATTCTAAAATGAACAGCTAAAGGTGTACTTACTGGTTTAGCATCTTGCATGTTGAACCTGGAGAGTACTTTATTGATGTACTCAGCCTGTGATAACATCAAAGTCCCCGACTTTGTGTCTCTCTATATCCTCATCCCAAGAATCTGCTTTGCAACGCCTAGACCCTTCATAGAAAACTGCTTCGACAATTTTTGCTTCAGGTTTATAATCTCTTACATGTCTGAGCCTGTAACGAGCATATCATCAACGTACAACAATAAAATAATGAAGATATTGTCGAACCTCTTGATATAGCAACAATGATATGCTTGGCATTTGGTAAAACCACTGCTACTCATGAAGCTATCGAACTTCTTGTACCACTGTCTTGGAGCTTGTTTTAAACCATACAAGCTCTTCTTCAACCTGCATACCAGGTTTTTGTTTCCTGCCTCTATGAAGCCTTCTGGCTGCCTCATATAGATTTCTTCCTCCAAATCACCATGAAGGAAAGCTGTCTTTACATCTAAATGCTCAAGATGTAAATTCTCTACAGCTACAATTTTTTAACACCAGTATGATTGTAGACAGTTTTACAACTGGAGAGAAAATTTCATTGTAGTCAATACCTTCTTTTTGCTAAAAGCCTTTGACAACCAA